ATGAGAAGTGGTTTGGCTGCTGCAGCCAGTCTGATGAGTCCTTGGCAGTTTCATAGTGTATTGTTGGAAATATACCACCACAGTTCCTAGGAAGCCTGTTGGTTTAGGAGAGCTGAATTTCTGAATTCTCTGGCCTCGAGCAGTTTCTTAGACCCTTTCTGTTAGGAAATGACTTCTTGCTCTTTTTGTTTTGTTTGGGGAACACACCCAAGTGGCGCTCTGGGCTTATCCTGCCTTTGTTCTCAAGGATGACTCCTGCCTATCCCCAGGTTAGCCCTGGATAAGGACAGTGTCCTAACCACTGTACTGTCTCTCCAGTCTTGTGTCAGTTTTAAATATGATGTGTGTGCTATTATATAGTAAAACTTTTTTGTTGCTGTTTTTTTGGCTTCATCTAGCAATGCTCAGGGATTACTCTTGAGCACTGGAAGTAACCCCCTCCCAACACTGCTGGATCCAACACCCCTTCCTCATCCCCCCAAAAAAAACAAACTCAAATGAAATCTTTCATAAATCTTGGCTTCACTTGGGTCCCTGAGCATAGAGACAGGAGTAGCTGAACACTGCAGGTGGTGTGGCCCAAACACAACCCCCTGTCCCCTGCCTTTTTTTTTTTTTTTTTTTTTTTTTTGCTTTTTTGGGTCACACCCGGCAATGCACAGGGGTTACTCCTGGCTCTGCACTCAGGAGTTACTCCTGGCGGGTGCTCAGGGGGCCATATGGGATGCTGGGAATCAAACCCGGGTCGGCCGCGTGCAAGGCAAACACCCTACCCGCTGTGCTATCTCTCCAGCCCCTCCCCTGCCAATTTTTAATTTTTATTTAATTTTATTTTTATTAGTGAAATACCATGAGGTACAGTTGTAGACATACAAACTTTTGTGCTTGAGTTTCAGTTATACAATGATCGAGTACCCATCCCTTCACCAGTGTCCATTCTCCACCACCAATGAACCTGGTGGTCCTCCCACCCCCAACCCCATCCCCCAATTTTTAATTTTTAAATAAAATAAAATCCTGTACGTTCTTTATTCTCTTGTAACATTTAGTATTCAGAGTAGTCTGAAATTACCCTAATTTTTGTCTTGAGTACTTAAAATTTTTGCAGTAATGTGTTCAGGTTGACCTTTTATTTTTGGTCTTTCTACCATATCCAACAGTGTCAGGTGCAATTCCTGGTTCTGTGCTCAGGAGTGATCTCTGGCCATATTCGGGGGATCATACGGTGCCAGGACTTGAACCAGTGATGTGGCCAGACACTGCAGCCACTTGGCCCGCAGATTTGACTTTTTAAATTGATTTCACTGAATTAAAAAAAAGTCAACTTTTGTAATCCACATAAAAGATCTTTTTCAGCTGATGATGGTGTTCATTATCTCTTTATTGGAAACCTTCCCCGCCCCACCCCCCACTGATGTAGGCTTTTCAGCTTTTCCTTTCAGTTTTATTAAATGCTTTAATCTCTCAGTTTTCCTTGTTTCTTTGTGCTTTTTCATCTGCATCCTGGAAAAATATCTCAGGTTTTCTTGTGACTGATTCTTGTGTTTAATGACTCATTTCCCCATGTCACTTCTCTGTTTTTCTGATGTCTGTGTAAATTTTAATTAATTTTTAGTTTCTCGCATCTTTTTTTCTTTCCAATGACAATTCTTTTGTCCTAAGAAATCTTGTAGGTTTTTTTTTTTTAGATAAGGTTTCTATCTTAGAAACTAAGGCTTCTGTATTACCATTCCAGCCTATTATAAACTTCATCTTCTTTTTGTTTTTATTTTGGGCCATAACTGGTGTTCTTCAGGGGTTCCTCCTGGTTCAGTGTTCTGGGGTTACGCCTGGTGGTGTTGAAGATCTAACCCCAGGTCTTCTGCATCCACATCATGGGCTTATCCACAACTTTGTCTCTGACCCCCTCTTGTTATTCAGTTGGGAGTGGTGTTTCAGGAAGTGCTTTGTTGAACGCCCTCCTAATATCCTCAACTTGATCACTTGATCACTTGATTTCCCATTACTCATCGATTTGCAGGTGCGAGTAACATCTCCATTCGTCCCTGTCATGTGCTAGTAGTGTAGCCCAATGGCGTCTGTTCATTCTAGGAACATGAAGAGCCTCAAACCTGATTGTTCACTCAACACAGCCTGAAATTTAATGCAGGATCTTCAGGGTAACACTCAGCAGTGCTGGGGCCTCTTGAGCTGCACAGAGTCTGTTTTGTTTTTCGGAGTGGGGGAGGGCACACCTGGCTTAGGGCTTAATTTTGACTCTGCACTGGGATCACTCCTGATGGGCTCTGGGGACCACGTGTGTGTGATAGATTGAACTCAGATCAGTGGCATACAAGGCAAGTGCCCTACCCACTGTACTGTCTCTCTGGCCCCTGCACCCACAGATTCTTGAGGACCAGGTGGTACCAAGGATCAAACCCGTGTAGCCTGCTTGCAAAGCATGTGCCTTAACTCCTGTACTATATCTTTCTGCCCACGCTCCCCACCATCAACTTACTGAGATCTCTTTCTACTGAAATATTTCCTGTGTCCACCTCCAGAGTTTCTGTTTTGTTAACTCTTTAAAGAAAAAGGGGCTAGAGACATATGACAGCAGTTAGGGTGCTTTCCTTGTACACAGCTGACCTGGGTTCCATCCTCAGCACCCCATGATTCCCCAAGCACCACAGAATAATTCCTGAGTGTAGAGCCAGGAGCAGGCCCTGAGCTTTGATGGGTGTGGTCCCAAAGTAAAAGTTTTGGGTGAGTCTCCTCTCGCCCCATTCATACACACAATAATACTATTTTCAGTACTAGGTTCCTCTGTCGTATTTACTGTCTTATTCACTGCTTATTTCCAGCATGTAGTATAGTGCCTATCACATAGCAGGCATTTTTTTGTTTTTTGTATTTTGGATCACACCCGGCAATGCAGAGATTACTCCTGGCTCTGCACTCAGGAATCACTCCTGGCGGTGCTCAGGAGACCATATGGGATGCTGGGAATTGAACCCGGGTTGGTCGTGTGCAAGGCAAATGCCCTACCTGCTGTGCTATCGCTCCAGACCCCCAGCAGGCAATTTTTTAAAAAAATAGTGAGCTCATTTATACTATACTAGTTCATGAAAACCAGTCTTCTTGTGCAGTATTGAGAATTTTAAACATTTTATTATTTTTTTCCCCTTAGAATCCTAGGTTCTTTCCAACGGAATCATTTCTCTAACTCTTCAGGGATTGTTTCCTTTACCTCATGAGTAATGAGTAGCGTTTTTTTTCTTTTTACCCTGGGGTGAGGGGTGTCTAGTCCAGTATTGCTCAGGAGTGACCCCTGGTGGTATTCAGGGGACCACGTGGTGCTGGGAATTCAAACCAGGGTCAAGTGCCTTAATTAACCTCTGTGCTCTCTCTAGCCATGAGCATTTTTCATAGCTCCTACATTATGCCTCACACACTCTCTGTTCATCCGTTCATCCCTATGAAGTAAGAGCTCTGTAGTCCTTATGGCATCAGTATGTGGTTGCTGTTGGCATTAGCTCTAATTTGAATGAGGATGTGTTTTCTCATAGCTACAGCTAAATCTACTGACATACTTGGGCCTGCTCCAGACCATAGGTCAGTTCTTACTGAAATCCCCATTGGTGGTTGTCATTCACTTGATACATCTTTGCTGTCCTTGGATGACAACCTCTTTTATTCTGTATCTTGGTTCTTTGAAAGAGACACAGTTTTGAGTGTCAGAAATTATTTTTTGTCTTTGTTCTATTTGTAAAAGTCCACTTGTAAGATTCATTGCACCGCCACTAATTTTCTTTTTCTCCTTTCTTTTGAGGATTACATTTAAATGGATAGAAAGGTTATGGGCCCTTGCCAGGTTTGTGTTGTATGACAGGTTTTCTAGATGGTATAGTCTCATGAATCAGGAGACCAGAGAGGAAGAAATTATCTTTCCTGTCACCTCCCTTTCATTCAGACAACTTGAGACCCTGATCTTTAGTGATAAATTGCCATCAACCTTACATATGAATATAAAAAAATGATCCCACATTCTGGCAGTAGTGTGTGTGTGTGTGTGTGTAGGGGGGTATGACACCGTGACACCTGGTAATGCTCAGGGGTTACTCTTGACTCTGTACTCAGGAATTATTCTTAGCGGTGGTATGGGGACCATATGGGATGCTGGGGATCGAACATGGGTTGGCCATGTGCAAAGCCTTACCTGCTGTACATCATTCCAGCCTCTCTGGTAGTGGTTTTATACTGTTCATTTATTGATTTTTTTTTCTCTTTTTCTGTGTCTTCTTAAAAGACCTCACTTGAATTCCATTTATTTTTTCATACTTTGAATCCTAGAGTTTAATAAAACTCATTTTCTTCTCTAAGCTGACTTTGAGTTCCTCTGAGGGTTATTTCTTTTTAAAAATTTATCTCTATGCTGAAGTTGCAATTTTCCCAGTTCTTGTTTATTTTTGTTTTTTTTTTCCTGTTATACACAATAAGACTCCTTCCTCCATCCCCCAATCCCTAAGTAGAGATGACACCAAATCTATATGATTTTCGGTTGGGTCAGGCTTGTTAGTGGATGGCTTTTCATGCTTTCCGTAGACCATGCTCTGAGTTCAGGAAGAAACCAGGAGAAACGGGGGTGCAAGTAAAATTGTTCTAGAGTTTGAATCTGTGATATGCCAGGGTGTGTACTGAGGGAGAGTTACCAACTGGCAGTGGCAATAGACATGAGTCTCTCGGGAATGGGGAACTAACTCTAGAGGCTTCCTGGTTAAGGCTTGCCACAGAATCTCTGGGTGATTGGAAATTGTGTTCTTTCCCCTAGGGACATGGAGTGGGAATTCACTTTTCCTTAGGTCCAGTATGACTGAGTTAGAAATACAGTCGAGCCAATTTATCTTGTCTTTTGTGATGTGCTAGCTGCCTAAGGAAGAGACTGTTTCATGTGGGAGTTTATTTCAGGCTGTCTCCTTGCCTGTGTTGTTTCTTTAACAGCTTTTTGCATTTTCTTTTTCCAGCAATGATGTGGTCCACTGGGCATGTACTGACCACTGTGGCAGGTCTGAGCACATAGCTGAAGCTGAAAATAGGAAAGCTGGGGGCAAGGAAGAGCCTTGAATCTTGAGGTGGGACGTTGACTCTAAGATGTCCTTGAGCAGTGGAGCCTCCGGAGGGAAAGGAGTGGATGCGAACCCGGTTGAGACATACGACAGTGGGGATGAATGGGACATTGGAGTAGGGAACCTCATCATTGACCTGGACGCCGATCTGGAGAAGGACCAACAGAAACTGGAAATGTCAGGCTCAAAGGAGGTGGGGATCCCGGCTCCCAATGCCGTGGCCACACTACCCGACAACATCAAGTTTGTGACCCCAGTGCCAGGTCCTCAAGGGAAGGAAGGCAAATCCAAATCCAAAAGGAGTAAGAGTGGCAAGGACACTAGCAAGCCCACTCTGGGGACTTCCCTGTTCACGCCCAGTGAGGGAGCAGCTAGCAAGAAAGAGGTGCAGGGACGCTCGGGAGACGGTGCCAATGCAGGAAGCCTGGTTGCTGCTATTGCTCCCAAGGGCTCAGAGAAGGTGGCTAAGGCATCCCGCAGTGTAGCTGGCTCCAAAAAGGAGAAGGAGAACAGCTCATCTAAGAGCAAGAAGGAGAGAAGCGAAGGAGTGGGAACTTGCACAGAAAAGGATCCTGGGGTCCTCCAGCCAGTGCCCCTGGGAGGACGGGGTGGGCAGTATGACGGAAGTACCGGGGTGGACACGGGAGCTGTGGAGCCTCTCGGGAGTATAGCTCTTGAGCCTGGGGCCGCACTCAACCCTTTGGGAACTAAGCCGGAGCCTGAGGAAGGGGAGAATGAGTGTCGCCTGCTAAAGAAAGTCAAGTCTGAAAAGGTAAGAGGTGGCCTGCTCTGGCTGCCTGCTGACAGTCGGATCTGCTGGGACTGACTGCCAAATGCTCTGTGTACTTTGTGGGAAGATTATTAATTAGCGTGTGGGTACTGACCAAATTCCAAGGTGAGAGCAGCTGGTAATGAGGATGTGGTTTTCTTCCAAATTAGGGAATTCCTACTCATTAACAGGCTGGACATTTTACAACAGAATATTGTTGGGAGCAGTTACTTGTTCAATTCTGTTTTCCATGGGTTGAGTGGAGAACCTCCCACCTTATCCAGTTCCACTTCACCCACTTAGTCCCTCAAACCTTGATGTGGTGGTTCTCAACCTGACTGACATTTTGTACTGAAAGTCATTGATAAATTCTATAATACTCAGCTTTAGCTTGAATGCTGTTCTCCGGAGAATGATAATGCTGTTAAGTCTCAAAGGGAAAAGAGTTAAAATTTTTCATGGCATGGTACCCACCAAGTGTTCTGCTGGTGACTACTGAAAAACAAAGGTTATCGTTTGCGAGAGATAAAGTCACAAAAGGTGCTCGCTCTACCACGGATTCTTTCATTAGTCAGCACTTGGGAGCTAGTATTGCAGCTGTGAAAGCTTCATTGTCAAAGATTCATTGACCTCTAACGGGGTGGCTGTTGGGAGGTATCTCCCTTGACAACTGGGAATCAAGGTCTGGGACTGGTTTCATAGCTGCCACGCAGTGTAATGACAGCCTCACCTTCTGCTCCTCCTAGGACTGTGCCTCAGCCCCTCTGTAGAGGGGACTTCCTCCTCTGGGAAGAAGAGTTTAGTCCAGAAAATGGAGTATGCAGGGCTAACATTACATGGGCATGAGTCTGGGGTCAGCTCAGCCTTTGGCAGCTTCCAGTTTCCTGCCAGGCAGCTCACCTGGTAATGAGTTGTTCCTTGGCTCTTGATTTTCTGCTCCTCGTTCTGCACACCTTGTGCTTTGAGCTGATCCCAGCAGATGCCCCATAAATTGATTTCCCTGTAATTACATCAGCTGCAACAGGGAATACCTATCTCCCTGTGTACGTGTTAATAAATAGGAAGGCTGCATGTGTGCGTCTGCATGGTGATGCCCTCTCATTGATCGCATAGGGGCTGGTTTCTACCAGTTATTTCTTTACTATTGGTATTTTGATCTTAGCCTCTGGCACATTTGGGGATATTAGCAACATCTGGGTGCCTCTGGTAACAGGGCTTTGAATTTTCTTACACTAATTACATGAGTTCATTCCCTTTTACTGCTGGCAGCTGCCCTTGAGACTGCCTGTGTGCAAGTGCAGATGCCTTAGTCCACCTCAGCAGAGTGGAATTCCAGCTGCCTACTGGTTTAGCTCATCTGGTGCTGTCTGGGGTTGGCCATTTTCTCCTTGGTGCAAATGGATAACATTGTTTCAAAGAGGTCTGGGAGTGGGAGAGTCTTGCTTCTGTTCAGGTCCATTAACACCATTCCCTACACCTAGCTTCAGGAAATTCTTAACATAAATTCATGTTGATAATTATTGTTCTTCCTGTGCAGAAGTGGCCACTTCTGAGAGTGACCTTTGTTTTCCTGTTTAGGATTCTTGATTCATGTTGCAATCTCCTAAACCCAGTGGAAATCTGTGGGTGAAAGGATTAATGATGCTTAACCTCATCTTGGATTTGTCTTAATTAGCCATGGTAATTCCCAAAAGAGAAACAAATGGAACCCATGTTCTCTTACATGTCCAGGGACTGGTGGGTGACCGTCCTTAGATTATCACTGAATGGAAGGATACAGTGCATTTAGCTAAGGAAGCACTGTGGTGCCAATGCTCCAGCATATTATAGCTGTAAACCTTGTGTCTCAAGGAGACTGAGACAGGGCAGTTGAACAGGACAGAAATGGGTAGAGAATATACTTCTGTTTGGGGAAGAAAGCATTACTGGGACGTTGTCTGCTCCCTTCCCTGTATAGCTGTTCTGATCCCCTGGTTTCTTACACACTGGGTTGTGGTGCATATAGGATATTAACATGCACTGGAGGTTGCACTCTGGGTTGCTGTGCATTGAAGATCACACTTATGGTGCTGGGGTCACCGAGAGCAGTGTGGTGAGGATGGCCCCCTGTATGTGAGTGTGATGCTTGTGTAGAACCCGCAGCTTCATACCGGTAAGCTGAAGCTCTGCAGTCAAGTTCTCCCCAGGCTCCTGGGAAGGATTTTTATTTTTAATTCTTTTAACTTTTTAAGAAAACTTGTTTCCCCGCCCCTCTCCCATTGTCATTGTTGTTCTAATTGTGGTTGCTGCAGTGACGCCCATGTGCCTGACGGTACTCCCTGCAGTTCTCCCCAGGGCCTCTCATCAAGTTCTGGTGTTTGGCCAGGGTTGGCACTGCTAATTGTGATGCTTGCCAGGGTTCACATTCCTTTTTGTGGTGCTTGCCTACACCTGACTGTGGTTGGAAATCTCTTTAGACACCAGAGATCACAGATAATCAAGCTGCTAGGCTTAACAACAGAGGTCTCGGGATTGTGCTGTGTGCATGTGTGACGCCAGGGGGTTGAACGCTTGACCATATACTTACAAGGCAGGCACTCAACCACAGCACTATTCAGCACTATTCACAAAGGTATTTTTAGGTTTTTTGGCCCACACCCAGCGATGTTCAGGCTTACTCTTGGCTCTGCGCTCAGGGATCACTTCTGGTGGGGGCTGAGGGAAACATATGTGTGCTAGTTATCAAACTCAGGTTGGCCACATAAAAGAATGTTTAGGAGCAGAAAATTTGCTGTGTAGTTTGATGTTACTATTAACAAAAAACCTTCCTTAATGCCTTTTATTTTTCCCACAACCTTTTTGGAACAGTTTGTTCCCCAACCTTTTTTTGAAACAGTTTGTTCTAGGGGTGCCTCTCCACAAACCTTTTTCCATTGAAATTAATTTAAATGTTTGTGTGTGTGTGTTTAGTTCACAATATTTGATTACATTTAATATTCAAACATCAATCCCACCACAGTTGTACCTTCCCACCACCATATTTCAGATGTTTCCATCCCAATCCCCAATCCTGCCCCAAAGCAGAACTGAAATAATATATTCTGTATTGTTTGTTATGAAAATCTGCTGAGAATGCTAGAAAAAAGTATCCTTAGAGGAAGGAGTGTGAGGATTGTTATATTTCACTCATGGCCACTAAGCCCTTCTATAAGAGATCATTAACATGTTAAAGGTTGAGCCTTGTGTGTTATATATATATATAGCACAGCGGTAGTGCGTTCGCCTTACATGCGGCCAACATGGCCGACCCGAGTTCGATTCCTCCGCCCCTCTCGGAGAGCCCGGCAAGCTACCGAGAGTATTCGATATGCCAGACACAGTAACAACAAAGTCTCCAATGGAGACGTTACTGGGCCCGCTCGAGCAAATCGACGATCAACGGGAGGGCCTTTACCTTTACCTTTACCTTTATATATCTGTTTAAAAAATGTATATTTCCCTCTAAGATTGGTTGCCTCCTATTTTGAATCCTGTCATTTGTGGTGCAGTAATCCTGGAATATGGGTAGAGTATTTGGTTTGAAGTATTGCGCGGCTGCAAATGCAGCCGTGTAGTCCAGGAATAGATGCACTTGTGGGTGAGGCTTGGCCCTGAGGGTGTGGAGAGCAGCTGTGAGTGTGGCAGTTGAGTTATGGAAGTTTTCCAGGGCTGCGAGGGGTCTCACCCACCCCGCCTCCGGGGGGTGCCCTGAGTGAACCTGTTTGTGCGCTTTTAAGAAATGAAAACACTATGCAAGGAGAGATTTCTAGCATGGAGATAGGAAAGGAGTTTGGGTGAAAGGATAGGGATAGTGTGAAGAAGCAGCTTTTAAGAAAAATGAGCAAAGGTGGGAAGTATTTGGTGTTTGGTCAGTGTTTGATGATTAGTATGAGAGCTATAAGTTGTTTTGAAAACACCATTTAAGTTATTCCATGTTAAGGTCTTGATATAATTTAATTGGTTTGGAATGTTTCTTCCATATGGGACAAGTAGCAGAACCCAAATAGCAAAACATGTTACAATTATAGTGCAGGAATCACATACTTTTATTGTATTTATTTTTGCCATGCTGAGAACCTAACCTATGGACTCACACATGTAAGTCAAGTGATTTACCACTGAGTCACACTCTAGACCCCTAGGAATTATATATTCTGGACTAGGAACTTGCCTTTTGTTGTTTATTTTGCTTGTTTGGGGGCACACCTAATAGTGTTCAGGTCTTACTCCTGCTTCTGCACTCGGGAATCACTCCTTTTGAGCTTAGGGGATCGAATCTAGATCTGCCATGAAATGCCCTATCTGCTGTATCATCACTCTGACCCTGAATTAGGAACTTCTTAATGCAGGAAGACTCAGAACTTGGAAAGATTCTTGGTTAGAGTTCTTGCCATCCCTCTTAAGAATAAAATAACTAAGGATATAATTGTCCTATTCTACTGCTTGCTGTAGGGAGACGTTGACTTTTCAGAGTCTTTTACCTCAGAATCCCCTTCACTAAGATAGGTATTTGAAACTGGAGGAAGTTTCTGCCAGCCAGGCACATGTCTTTAATGGGGCTCCAGTGTTGCTGCTCTGGTTCCATATTGTTGCTGAGGATTCCTACCTGATGCGTCCTGCCAGCTGGAGAAATGGAGAGAACGTTGCAGAATAAACTACAGAATAAACATCAGAGCCTCTGTCACTTGCTTGTACCCTTGCCTTTGCTTTGATTAATAGTGCTGCAGGTGGGAAAAGTGACACCCCCCACCCCACCCCACCCCAAATAAAGCCCACGACTAATGGTACTGGTCACCTGATTCCTGGCTCTCAGGCCAGTTCTGTTGCAGATGATATGGTTGGAGTGGGATGTGGGGGAGGTAGCCTCAAGAAAAGTGTGTTGCAGGGCTGGAGAAGTTATACTTGCCTTGCATGCGCTGGACCCACTTTCGCTTCCTGGCACCACATAGGGGTCCCTGGGCAGAGCCAGGAGTGATTCCTGACAT